GGGAGCAGGCCTAAGCTGCAGTCGGACATCCTTAGCACTGCTGAGGAGGCGGGAGAGGCTCTTGCCATCACCACTGTGCTGGCAGCCGTCAGCCCGGCTTGTGGCTGAGCAGAGCTCCCCTTGTAGGAGCACATTGACCACCAGGGGGCAGCTCCTGCATTGAGCATCTGCCTGGTGGTCAGTGTGTGTCATAGTGACCAGTCATTCCCAGTCTTTCTGCTGTTAGGGTCAATTTGCATATTAGCCTTTTATTATATAGGATGTTCAAAAGATACACAAATCACAAGAATACAGCTTGATGAATTTTTTAAAATGTATAGATATTTTAAGAATGTCCTATGTTTGAGAAAACATTTCATCATTGTAGACTTGGAAAGTGTTTCAGAATCAAAAAGCAACCTTAGATTACTGAGATTGAAGATCAAAGAATACAAGAAATGTGTGTCCAGTAAGGGGATGGCCCAGTAAGAAAGAAGAAATTAAATCCTAGAAATACCAAGAAAATGAAATTAAGGCCTAGCTCTTTCTATTTACAAGATACTTACTATGAGTTTTTTCTGAGTCTATGGTGTGTCTTTTTATGTACAGTGATATGCATGCTTCCATTTATTTGGCTAGAGGTAAACTTAGCCTGTGTTACCAAAACCACTACTTTGATGATGATGATTAATATTACTATTATTACTATCATTATTACATTTGGCAGATATGGGAACCTAAACGAAAAGAAAGCAGTATTTCTAGAGGACATCGAAGCCTATGGAGATGCATTTCTTCTGCTGCCAGCGTTTTCCTTCAGGGCCAACACCTTTGCCTCTTTTAAAGTGTACAGCACGCTGGAAGAGTCTAAGGCAAGACAAAAGGTTATATATTTCCATCCCAAGTACCTGAGGAATCTTGCCCTCTTCTGGAGAACTAAAGGCGTGACAGAGTACCGCCTGTCCTCTGGCTTGATGATCGCGAGTGTGGCCATTGAGCTGTGTGAGAACGTGAAACTGTATGGATTTTGGCCCTTCTCTAAAACTGTGCAGGACACACCTGTCAGCCATCACTACTATGACAACAGTTTGCCTAAACGTGGTTTCCATGAGATGCCCAAGGAATACAGCCAAATTCTCCAACTTCACATGAAAGGAATCCTCAAATTACAATTTAGTAAATGTGAAATAGCCTAACCAAAGTGACTTAAAGTGGGAATCGTTGTAATGTAATGCTATAGGTGAGTAACAATGTTTCTGAACACAAAAACTGGTGGTTGTAGGGAATAATAGGAGGAGCCCCATACTTAGTTTGATCAAAGCTCCCCACAAAGTGTGCAACCTCAGCAACTCATTCAGTTCTGATCTTCAATTTCCCTGACTGTACAATGGGGACCAGGATATTTAACTCATATTAGGAAAATATGAAAATCTTTGAAAACTCTTGGCAAACTATTTGCCTGAGGTAAGTACCCCAAGTCTGTTTCCTTTTGATAGTTATAACATTTCCACCCTCACCAGACTGATAATAAAAGGTGTGCTGTTTGAAACCCTTTCTGGAGAGAATACCTGAACTACCAGTACTCACTGAGGTTGTTTCTCTGGCTGACCTCTCTCTTATCAAAAATATCCTTCTCATCTTTCCTCCTGTCTTAAAGAGTGCATTTAAGAAAATTATGTACTAAAACAAGAAACCTTCGACTATTCAGGAATGAAATCCTTCTCTTTGTATGCTAATGTGCCTGCTTCTGATTACATTCACTTGTGTCATTCCCTGAGATGACTGGTATTGGTTGGATTTTAGGCCAATTCTTTTTCTCCTTTATCTACATTTTAAAATCACTTTTTTATTTTGACTTCTTCCTCACTCTTAAGTATTTCCTCTCTCACTGACAGGATCTACTTCAAGGATATGAATGGTTACAATGTCTAGTTTTTCTTACCTGTTGACTTATCCGTGCCCTCACTTATTTAATTAATTTTTTAAAAAAAATCATTGAATAGCTACTTCATGCCAACCCTGTAACAAGCTCTGTGAGAGGGATGCAGAGGTTCCGCAGGAGGAAGCGGACACGCATGTCATCACTATGATCTGGTGTGATACATGTTACCACAATAGCTATGAATAAAGAATTGTGAGGAACAGGCAGGAATAACTAAATCTACTTCGTAGAATCTATTTCAGAGAAGAGGTGATTTCTGAATTATACCTAGATGAGTAAGGTTTTAGCAAATGAAAATAATTCTGGGTAGAGGGAATAGGATAAGGGAGAAAGCTGTCCCCTTGCTTCTGATTCATCAAAACTAGCACAGTTGAAGGCAGGTCATGTTCTTTGCTCAAAAAAACTGCCCCAGGAGGGTAGGATACAGACTGTGGTGGTACTGGCTTGGGCCCACATCTGTGAAATGGGAATGATACCAGCCTGGCAGATTTTACAGGAAAGCTGCCATGATTAAAACACGAAAACTTCATTCTCATAAGGAAAGGTGTGTGTTCACATGAGAAATAAGACTAATCACTTCAACATCAGTCTAAAATGAAGCTTGTGTAGATATGGAATATTAGCATTTTCACACCATTCCCTTATATTATGATGATACCTGGAGGTTGCAGGACTAGGTGAAAAAGGTGAAAGGATTAAGAAGAAAATATA